TGGATTGAGATTCACAAGACCATGCTGCTGTTCAGAGCACAACCCCAAGAGCAGAACTCTTTTGACAACGACAGATCACTTTTTCTCATTTTTACAAGTGCWTTTTTACATTTTYCCAAGCAAATGGTCTCATTTCTCAGGTTATTAAACCTATCATTTCTGTTTTACAGAACGAGGMGGGGATAATTCAAGGCTGAAGATGCTGAACAGAGCTCARAGGTGAGTGGGCTGTGAGTGCAGCAGAACCCTGGGGCTKCAGAARCTCCTTTTCCCATTTCTTTTYCCCTCMTTTTCCTKGTACCKGCACATCCCACRGAAGCCTCACCTCTGTAGAAGCAGTCAGAGCAYGACACGTTGACGAGGGGCCTGGGATTCTGCATCTTTTGGTCTATTTCCAGCAAGACTGGGATCGTGTCATTCTTCCCGTTTTTTAAGTTCAGCAGGGCTTTCATCAAGCAGGTTTTCCCAGTCTTTGCATCTAGGGAGAGAGAATTGAACGGGCTGTGGGTGTGCCCTGCACCCAGCTGCACTGCTTGATTTAGGGTTTAACTCTAGGATCAAACACAATTATAATTTTAAAGGTTTTTATCTGTATTTTTAGTAGTCCTAAAGCAAAAAAGCTTAGGATATGTTTAATTAATGGCATTCTGCACCTTCAGGTGAACAAAAAGGATGGAGAAAGGGAAGAACCACAAGCAGGTTCCCCCTGCTCCCCTGCCTGTAATCCACAAATATTCCACCAGGAGGGCTCGATCTACCTGTGTATTCGGAATTGGTGAGGAATTTGGAGTTCCTCCTCAAGTACTCGAGCAATCCATCGAGCGCCTCGGGGCTGCCCCTCACCACAGCGCTGAACAGCCGCTCCCGATCAAAGCGATTCGGGTCCTTCTGGCTGCGGGCAAAACGCAGGAAATTGTGGAGAGCAGAGACACGAGTGAGCCACGAGACAGGGGGAGAGAGGAGAGAGACAGAGAMGAGTTTGTTTGGGGATAAAAAAAAATATAAATAAATAAATAGAAACCTGAAGTGTTTTATTTTTGAGTCAAGGGAAAAACAGAGACAGTTATTTCCCAGAATCCTCTTAAGTGGCTGCTCTTTCCATCAGYTGGAGCTGTTCCCAGATGGAGCAGCCCTGGCACTCACCCAGAGCTCAGAGAGAAGCCCGAGAGAGCTGCAGAAGCAGAGTCAGAGCTCTGGTTCCCAGCACTGT